TCAGTGCAATAAGGAAAACCCATCTTAATGTCTCAACATCTTGGGAATTTGTGCAAAACTGAACATCCTCAGAAAACTATCAGTTGGTTACAGGGCATGAAGATAATTTCCAGCCATCGTTCCTTGGATGTTTAGTTTTACAGTGAAACATTATCTAGCTTGAAAACATTGCCTCCCATGATAAAAAAAGGGAGAGACATTGTGGGCATTTGGTAGCTAAGTAAAATGTGTCTTACTGTGACAATGCTAGAATAAATGGAAGAAGAGAGTAAGAATTTTATATACTGGACACCATTTATTTACTGTCAACACTACTACAAAACTGCTCACAGTTGGTGCACCATGGTCCTGGGTGTCACCTCATCTTTTTTGCATAAACACATAGCAGATGGTTGGGTCAGTAATGCTTGTGAAATCAAACCATGTCTTCTCTTTAGCGTGTAAAATAGAATATGAAATACAGGATCCACTTGCGCAAACCACTTTGATCTTGAGACTGCCTTTTGTAATCTTCTCTTCCTGGCTTCCCATTTTGTGGAACTGCTCTCTTTATCTAGACTGACTTTGTGGAGGTGTGTATTTGACAGTGTTGAGGAATGGACCTAATTTTGGGTCATGCTCAGGGTTCTGACTCTGTGTGTTCAGCCTGGGGTGGTATTGCTCTGTTCTATGATTTTCTTTTCATAAAAATCATGTGCAGGGTAAGGTAAATTTTACCTGTGTTTCTGCCTGACAAGAAGTTGTGACTCCTTCAGGAACACAGCCTAACATTAGGAATGCTAAAGCACTGCTGTAACCAGGTGATAGATAGAGTTGCAGATGTGTTTTATTTCTTCCCAACCAGGAACTGAGAATAGATAAAATTTTAATGTTGTGTACATAATGTGCACAGTACAAGTTGCATACATAATGCAAGCAAATCTGAAATAATTCTGGGAAGTGAGATGAGGACAAGGCAAGTTAACTCTTTTTCTGGAGGGTATATTTTGGTGTAGCTGTGACAGTGTCTTGTGTAAGCACTGCAAAAAGATGTGCCATATTGATCACTATAATGATTTGCTCAGAATGAAGTGAGTTTGTCTTCTTTATGTTCCTATGTTTCCTGTAAACTGGTATTTCAAAATGAGGAATGAGAAAAGAGTCCAGAATATCAAATATAGTTGCAAGAGTTTTATTTGCCCCAAAGCAAAGGAGATCAGAAAGAGCACAGCAGGACACACAGTATTTTCTGCCTTCTGTCTGCTAGAAAAAGAACATGCTGCCTGTGTTTGTAGGCTGATTATTGGAAACTCGAGTCTTTAAAATGTGTTTACAGGAAGTATCTTTTGAGCTACACCAGATCTAACAACTTGCTTTGAATGACTGTTAGTTTGCAACTCTGCTGTCTTGTGGTTCATCCTCAGCTTCTTGTCCACTGCACAGGTTCTTACTCCTCAAATTTGCCAGCATTATCAGCAAACAGTCCTTCCCTGTCCCGAGCTTGTTAGAGGACTTTGGTTTTGCATTGTACCTTTTGCAAAGTGTTCTGTTTCGCTCTTTTTTTCTGTCCAAGTATTCTGGGGAGAAGGGGGGTGGGTGGTGGATTCTTTTTTTGTTTGTTAGTTTGTTTGCTTTTGATGCAGTGTGCTTGTTTTGTTTTTTTTTTTTTTAAAGACATTTTAGTTATACCTAGTTTAGATTGGCAAAGCTCTCGGGGGAATAGCACATCTGTTGGACTGAACCTGGACAAAAACTGTCAAGGCTAACCTCCAGTCAAAGTAGCTCTGTTTTTCCCTGATTAACTAATAGACAAAATCACACCTGGTACCATGGGTTGCATGGGTTCAGAGGTGTTGACACCACATTTAATTGCAAAGGAAAAGCATTGTGCCTTCCTTCTTGGAAATGACTTAGTTGCTATCCAGTGAGTCAGAAGGAAGAAGGGAACATGGAGGAGAAAGTGAGGGATTTCCAGTGGAACCATGTATACTTCCTGTTATTTTTATGTTTGGTTTTTTATCACACTGATGCTTTTCTACAGAAAATAGTGTCATGCACATCACTTTCTGCAGTACTTTGGAATAATGGTGTGGCAGATTTAATTGAGAACTGATGTTCTCCTCTTGCTTGTGTGGTAACCCTGGATGCCAGTGTAAGTGGCATTGGGCAGAAAAAAAGCCTCACTGTATATAATTTCCTTACAGTGAAGGCTCTGAATGGCTTTTAAAATCTGGCAGGAAGCTCTGAGGTTTGAACTGCCATCACTGGTTGATTGCGAAACAATTTCTGTATGGTTTTAATTAAGCAAAATCATGCTGCAGTCTTTAATAAAAGAATATATATTTTTTTCTGTAATGAAGATATCTTAATGCAAAAGACCAGAGACAAAAGGCAGAGCATGTCAAGATAGTCCTTTGCTGCAGTCTGCAGTAGTACATTACCACAATCTGCTGTAGTTTTGCTGCTATTACAGGGCAATATAATTTAAAACTTTACAAAGTAGGATGAAAAAGGGTGGCTTGAATTGGTGTCCAGTTAGAATCATTCATCTTCAAATGCCATTGGCATCTCTGGGAATGTAGTATCTAGGCATATGCTGCAGGTCTTCAGTTTAGTTGTTCTAGATAAAGCTGCACTTGGATGGTTCTTAATTGGGTACCAAAGTGCAACAGAATTGAAGGGCAATTAAAAACTCTGGTTGTGTCAAAGAGGAGAACTTAAAGATGGCCTCTGTAAATGTAGTTGGAAATACAAGTTGCTTTCAGAAGGAGGTGCAGAGCAGGAGGGCATCTGCAGGAGGTCAGAACTTGCAGAGAGATTGGTAGGAAGGCCTTGCCTTCTCTGAAGAAGCTGAAATATTTTTTAAAATATCTCGCTGATGGGCTGATTTTAAAACACATCACTAATCTCAGTGTTGCTTTGCAAGATGTGTGTGACTTCCTGAAGGTAATGAACAAATTATGAATATGACTTAGCAGCAAAGAGGCTCAATGTAGTTACTAGGTTGCATTGTCTCTATTTTACAGATGTGAGCTAAGCTACAAAGTTGCAAAGGATTTGTCTGTATGCATTGAACTAATCTGTTTTTTGTCAGTTTGTTTCATTTTACAACAATGTTGTAAATAGAGTTTTTAGATTTCTTTATCATTGCTGTAATTTTAATTTCTTCCTTTAAATTAAATAAATAATAACTGACCAGGTTGAAGTATTTGTATTTGTAGATGTCCAAAGGTTAATGGTGGTACATTATTACAAGATTTTAATGCAGTGGATTCACAGTATCAGCCCTTGATCTTGTGACTGGCAATGGCTTGTCTTGGGGGTAGCCCTTCATGGTGTCTAGGAGCTTTCACAGAACTTGCCCTGCTTTTAGAGTGGAAAAGGAAAAAAATAACCATACTAAATAAATACAGTTGAAGTTATAAAGAATGTTAAATTGGAACTTTGCAACTTAATATGCCAGTATAAAATTGATTTAAAATAATATATGACATTTTTTTCTGATAACTTGCATATCACACTTACCATGAAAAGAGCTCCAGATAATGTGAGATGTCTCTGTCCTCATGGAGGACAAAAAGCCAGGGTTAATTAAATGCTTTATGACTTCTCATCTGAACTGATAGTCATAGATGTGAACCTCAAGTTTGTTCTGCCCTCACCTTAGATGATGAAAAGAGACCAAAACCTAAGCTGCTTTGCAGGTCACTTCTATTAAGAGGTATAATTTTGTAAGAGATTTTAGATGCTTTGCTGATGAGTCCATTAAAGCACAGGGCTGGACGCAGTTTCCTGAGTTAAGTCTAGTGTTAACATCAGTGTAACATTCCTATATAGAAAACGAGGCTACCCTTGGCTAAACTGTTTTCCTTCCTTGCTATTATTCAGCTTAGGCTTGTTACTTTGTTAATATCCTGTTTATTTTAACACATTTTTCACCTCAATGTTGAAAGCCCTTGTCATATATCTGTGAAGAGCAAATTGTAACTCATCTCAGCTTCCACTTTGATGAGTTTTACAGGGATTTTGCAGAAGGCAGCTCTTCCTTGTCTGCACAAGTCTTTCTCTATATGTTGCGCGCTGAGCTGGATGGTGTTCTGCTTCTTGTGGCGAGTGTTCCTGACTTAGTTTCATTGCTGCTTCTTGTAGCAACAGGAGCAAGTAACCTGGTAAACCCTGGTGAAGCATCTCCCTTTTTATGGCTGTGTTACCTGACTCAAAGACCCTTTTTCTTCCTGGTTTTTTTCAACTCATAAGCTCCCAATTGGTAGCAGAAGTTCTTGTTTGTCTGTTGTGTGCTGTTTTATCTCCGTACTTTTTGAGTTCTTTCTTTTACTTCAGTCCTGGTTCGCCTATGTTACTTTTGCTGTAACTCATGAATCGCATCTTGATTACTGCATCACACATTTGAACACTGCTTTATGTATGAATCTTTCCTGAATTTAATTTTTTGAAGAGTGCTTTGCTTATGACTGCATTTTTCTGTGAATTAAGGATTTACCTATCTTAATCTTACTGTATATTTTTATATGGTTGCCCCATCTGTACATTTTAATAGAGAAGCATCTTCTCCACATAGAAACCTGTTGACTTGCCATAGTTTTCTGGTACCACAGTCAAAGATTTCTAACATGCTCTGTTAAAGCAAGATGGTAGATATTTCGGGTTAAAAATTATACTGGAAAGCATACTACTTGAAAAGTTCATGTTTTGACCTTAAGATAGAAAATTTGATACATAGAGTTATTTACTCCCTCGCAGTTATAGAGACTTTGTTCCCTGAGTGTAAATAAAGAGGTGAAGGTATGAAACTGAAAGAAAAATTTTGTTTCAAATCACAGAGAAGCTATGATATAAAATGTTAACACTCAGCATTTTTTCACAGGTTTTTAGTGGGGTTTTGTTCCTACACTGCTGCCCTCTCCCCCGCCTCCCCCCCAAAAAAAAAAATTCCTATACTAGTAGACTGTTTATTTGGATTGATTCAGTTAGAAATAATTTGTCCTTTTTGTGTCTTTCAGACTTCATTAAAAAAAAGAACAGGATACACATGCTGAATTTCATTTGTGACAGGTGGAGTAAGGTAAGATAATTTTAGTGATTATTACTGTAATGTGTGATGATCTGTTGACACTGAAGGCAAGAGTTCAAAGATTCATCATAAATTAGAGACTGAGAAATCTAAAGGAACTTCAACCTTGGAAATAATGAAGTGCTGACAAGATCTGATGGTCTGGTACCAGTAGCACACTTTTATTTCCAAGTTTTATATTGTAGGTAGTTCATTATATTGGCCAGGGTTTTCTGTTCTTATTTGGGTGCATTGCCCACAGTAGGTGAGGAAGTCCTAATAGCTAGTGACAGTATGGTATCTTTGTATTTGGACAAATGTGTTTCTGGAAGTCTGTGAGATTTAAACTGCAGCCTACACTGAAAAGCCAATATTTGATGCCTGTTTCTACTGTAGGAACAAACCAGTCTTTCTTTAGTTTTTCTCCTTAAAAGTCCAGAGATGGAAGAAGGCAGGTCTGCCTGTCATTGAGCATTGCTGTAGCATAGAGCAGTAACCTTCAGGATGGGAACTGAACCCTGCTGGGCACTTCACAAACATTTATAAAGTATTTGCTTCTCCCTAGTGGAAGAGCTACTTTATGTCCTGTGGTATGGCAGGGTGCAGGGGCTGATGGTCACATTTCTAGGCCCTGAGAGAGAAATCTCTGTCCTGGTGGGGCTCCTGTTAGCAGAAATAAGAAGACTCTTGGCCACTCGTTTCCATCCCAAGTTCAGTCATAGGATGCCTCTTACTTCCTGTGTGCAGAGCAGCTGTGTTTTGAGCTGAGCAGTTGGTTCTGGTACTCCAGAGAGTAAGAGAAGCTGATGAGGTAGGGATGTGGCCTGAACTGCAAGGCAGTATGAAACAGACTAATAAAATGAGTCTTCTGGTAGAGGCAGGAAGTTTTGCTGGTGTGGGAGTAGGATGTAGTGAGAGGTGAAGCAGGATGCTCTTGGTCAAATGTGATGCTTATGGTTGCATGCAGAAATTGAAACATCTCAGTGTCCTTGTCCCTGATGTAGTGCCCTCAGTGCCCTGTTGCAGAGTTCAGCAAATAATGAATGGTGGAATAGAGTCAATGGTGACTTCTCAATGTATTGACTTCTCAGAGATGTTCCCTGCTCCTGCTAAGGGAGATCAAATTCATTTGTAAGATTAAGCAAAGTCAGCAGATGCCCTTTCTCCTGCAGCATTGCTTTTCTTGTGTTAAATGTGTGTCTTAATGCAGACTGAGAATCAATTACTGAAAAGTCTAGAGGTGTGCTGCCATGACTGTGCCTACAACTGAAATGAAAGCAAATGGTCGATACCATGGACTCAGTTATTTAATTGGGACAGAATGGAATAGAGTGCATAACAGGATGCTCTAGGGGCTTATGTATAATTTTTTCCTTTCACCATCTTGAACTGCTCAGTGAATAACAACTTCAGAATAAGGCATGCACTTACAGATTTTTCTCCAAGATCTTTCTCCCAAGAAGGCCAGGATAAAGTTGCCAGCAGCAAATTAGCATTGCCAGACCCTGTAGCTATATTATGACTTATAAGGAATTGCAGTAATACTAGTCATTCATACTATCTTTCTTTCTTTTATTAATCATTGTATGCATTGGAAAAGAAATGCCTCAGGCAATCCTTCATCTCCATCCAATGCAGTGCTGCTTCTTGCTGAAGAAATTAATAAAGAATTGTCATTCTACCCAAAGACAGCTATGACTTCTCCCCTCTGGGGTTTGTCTCCACACTTGCAAAGAAATACATAATAATAGAGCTAAAAGCCAGCATTTGGGGCTCCCCTACAGGGACAGCATATCATCCTAATTAAGTGTTTCTCAAATACGGCCCTGGCTGTGCAACCCATTCCATATTTTGTCAGGTTGCACTACCTGATTGTAGCTTTGTATTAGAGGAGGTCTGGAGAGAAAATAGAAAAGAGAATGCCACCACTTCTGTTTGCCTGCTTGCTTGGCATTTTGGTGCATACTTTCTTTCCACTGATGTAGATTAAGTGGCTTCTTTTTTAGGAGTCAAACTCCATGTTGCATATGTAAAGCTCCACATAAATTTTTGGATTAATGCTCCTTAATTGTGTATGAGACAGGTTATGTCACCCTTTTTAAATAACAGCCTCTTCAGTCAGTTTTCTGGGTGACATTTCTAGAAAATGTGCCCTGCTGAAGTACAGTAGATGATGAGTGGACAAACAACACAGGTGACTGACTAAGGAGAGGTGGAGAGGTAATGGTTAATATAAGCACAGCAAGCTGTATTATGATTATTGTTGTTAGCTTTTACTGCACGTTTACTGTCTGCTTTTACAGTTTGGGTTTTTTTTAGCAAAAACCACCAGCATTTGCTAGCTTGTTTCTTTTTCCTTTTTGCCAGTTTGTAAAGTATAAATGCAGAGCAGGCCTTGTGTGACTGTGTGGCTGTGTTACATACGCAGTGATCTTGTTTCTTAGACCATAATGTTCATCATCCTCCTCTTAATGCTAGATTGATTCATGCCCCGTGCCAATGTGGCATATATAATTGCAGTAACTACACGTGCAGTCATTGCATAATGTGTGGCACTTGGCCTTTCTGTAATATTCTGTATTCCATTAGAGGGTTTTCTGACTGGTGGCTTTAGTATACAGAGTTAACCATGGCTTTTAGCAGTGAAGAGAGAGATGAAGAACTGAGTTTGAATAATATGTTACACGAAGGCATAATGGTATTGAATAGAGCCTGAATGCAGGGAGAGGGAAACAAAGAAGAGTGAGAGGACATGATGTCACATAGCTAATGAGAACAGCTGAAGAGGGCACATAGGGGGATGGCAGAGGCAGAATTTCAAATGTTTTAAGTGTCTGGAAATGACAGTGATCTGTGGGCTATTGCTTTGGTTCTTTCTTATTACTTCTGTCTCTTTTTACAAATATTTTGTCTATATTATGTTCTGTGCAAACACAAAATCAAGCCTTTTCTGGAATTAAATGCTATGCTTACATCAAGCCCTTTAAAGTCTTTGGAATTTTATCCCGTCCTAGCTTACATTCAATTCAATAATGTTAATTTTACTCCTGTGTTTGCATTTTAATTATAAAGCTGTTACAATGTTTAAATTACAAAATGCCCAGTACCTGATGGTTAATATTATCCTTGGGAGATACATAGATGAACTACCACAGATAATAATCAGTAATAATAATTCAGTAATAATTGTTTCACTAAAACATACTGAGAGAATTAACACTTAATCTCAACCATCTAAATCAACCTCCAAAACCAGCTGCCTACCATGCTACTTTCATTCTTGGAAACTCTGCATATGGATAATTTCCTACTTCCATTAGTATTTTCCTTTTAGCTAGGAAGATAGGATAGAAAGTGACTATATAGGTCCTCAGGTACAGACTTCCCCACATCTAAAGGTCTGGACTGTGCAATACAGACACCTGTAAACACTCTGTATGGTTTTCATACGTATGGGCTGCAATAGCTTGAAGCACTGCAATGAAAGACAAAAAAATCTGCAGTTTGCTTCAGACTGAGGCATTGCTAGCATGCTACTCTCTGAAGAATAAATAGCAGAATAGGCTCATAGTTATTTTTAACTTTAGTGCAGGATTTGTCATAACTTTGGGGAGGGCAGGGAAAATTTTCAAATTCATATCTTTAATCTGAAATCAGACATCTCAATAAAAGTCCTTGGTAGACACTGAAGATCTGCAGCCCTTAGTAAAGTCAGGAGCAGTTGTCAGTGATCTGAGGTCTCCCAAGAAGTCAGGTGTCTTAAAATCTATGTCAGGAGAAATCTTAACTTTTCTGCTTGCTTCAGTGGAACTGAAACTTATGGTTATGCATCTGCTCATGTGCTGACACTATAATCTGAGTTGGAAGGAACCCACAAGGATCATCAAGTCCAACTTTTGATCCTGCACAGGACAGCCCCAGAAATCCCACCATGTGTCTGAGGATGTTGTCCAAATGCTTCCTGAGCTCTGTCAGGCTTGGTGCTGTGACCACTTCCCTGGGGAGCTGTTCCAGTGCCCAACCCCACTCTGGGTGAAGAACCTTTTCCTTATATCTAACCTAACCTTACCAACACAGAAAATAAGCATTTTTTATGCCATTCCCTTGGAATTCTGTGACTGGTCACCAAAGAGAAGAGATTGGTGCCTGCCCTCCCACTTCTACCCCTCCTATTGGATGTCCCATAGCTATTAATTTAGCACAATTAGACATTTTTAGCCATGATATTCAGCAGAAATCTTAACTGCATGCCTATTTTGACTATTGTGTGACATATGCAGGCAGCTAAAACCAGCTTCTGAAACACCAAGATGCACAACTCATACTTCTGCTGTTTGAAGAATGAATCAGTAAGTATATTAAAATTCAGGCCAGATTTGTCTGAAGCAGGCAACATATACAAATACATATAAATACATAGCAGGCAACATATACAAACCTTTTAACAAGATGATTGCTTTCAGCTCAAGGCAGAGAAATGCAAATGTGGGTCAGAAAAAGAGCTTAAAATTGCAGACTAAGGAAATGTTTTGTGCTCTTAAGGTTTTTTTTGGGTTTTTTTTTTCATTTTTATGTCAAGCTGGTAGAGATACCAAAATTCTAAAACAAGAGGAAGAAAACAACAAAAAAAAATTCTTACAGAATGTTAACTGTTTTCTTGAAATGAATTGTATATTTATTCTTTTTAAAATCCTTTGAATATTATCAAGAAAATCATCATGCTTTATAACAGAAACTTTTCAAGATGTTGCATGCTCAAGTGCCCCAAGTAATGGAAAAGCCTACATGAACATATGCAACAGTTTGTGAACATAAGAAATTGTACTGAATAATGAGAATTTAAGGTCATGTGCAACTCTTAGAGGCTTGTGTAAAAGAATCCCACAAACATTTCATATTTACACTGGAACTCCCCATAGAATCATTAAGACTGGAAAAGACCCCCGAGATCATAGAGTCCAACACATATAAAGTTATACAGGGGTTTTTAGCTATATCCTGTGTTTTTGTGGTCTCAGGAGGTTTCAGGAAGTCTTGGGTGCTTTACTCATGATTTTACATTTATGAGAAGAAGCATCCAGTTTTTGCATCTGTCATATTTTAAAATCAATCAGACTTGCTGGCTGTTAGAATGGCTTTTTAAGTTGCTCCATTGGGAGTTTCCAATTTGGGAATTTCTTAAAGGTAACTTTTTAATGTGTGATTGAAATATAGATCTGTTACTAAGACTTTTTAGAGGATTTTCATTACTCATGCTATTGAATTTTATATATATGGAAAAGGTGATTTAGGCAACTTCAGGCTTGTTAATTTGACCCTAATAACCTTAGAAATTATTTTTAAGGAATACATAATTAAAGGCAGGGGAGTTGAGTGGAGGGAGGATGAAACACAATCTATTTTTCTAAGATAGGTCATCTCAAACTGGCCTAGTATCTTTTTTTAATAAGAAAGTAGGTTTTCTAGAAAAATAAGTGGGCTAGATCTGGTCTCTCTGGATTCTACTGAGCCATTCAACATGGTGCTGCATCAAAAATACTGCTCAAGGTGGAGGAAGATTAGGTTAGTGTAAGAACTGTAAACGCACTCAAGGAACTGACTCAAGAGAGAAAGAAGGAGGTAGATATATGTGATGAATTATTCTCTGGGACTTGGCTTGTTTAGTTTTCTTGATGCTTGTTTTGTTTTGTTTTGTTTTTTCCTGGAGTTGATATTGTTAGCATGATGTATTGAAAGCAAGCTGAAACTTGCAGATGGGAGGAGGACATTAATTTCTAGTGCACAATTTTAGATGGAGTGACTAAACAATTAATTGGACAATTAGATAATGCTAAAGGGACAGAATTCAACCCAGCAAAGTGTCAGGCCACACATTGTCATGAATTCTCTTACCCAGTTTAACCTTGGTGTCAAAATTAGCAGTATGACAGTCTGTGCTCTTATGTAATCAGTGGAAAGAGGCAGATTTTTAATTAGGCACCCAATTCCTGCTTTCTGTCTTGACTATTAACAGAGCCTGGGCACCTGACTCTGGCATCAGTGCTGAATGCCTGAAACTGGATGGTGCTACAGCCTCAGCTTAGGAAGTAATGCAACAACTTTTCCTATGAAGAGGGAGTTCAGCAATGGAAGATTTTGAAGGAGAAAGGCCTATATGAGGGTAAGTGGGTTCCAGTTTGTCTTTAGTCTGTCAGTTTGATACCATCGTGAAAATGATGTATGGGGTACAGGCAAATGTCAAAAAGAGGTATTTCCAGTTAAGGGAGAGCATCTCAGCTGGGTGCATCTGGGCTGGGACATGATCTAGAGTAAGTGTTGCAACACTTTTTGCAGTATATGAAGTAATACTATTTTTGCAGTAATAGAGATAGAGAAAACTGAAAGAGGGTAGATTTAGATTAGATATTAAGAAGTAATATTTTACGGTGTGAGTGGCGAGACACTGGAACAAGTTGCCCAAAGAAGCTGTGGATGCCCCATCCCTGGGAGTGTTCAAAGCCAGGTTGGATGGGGCTCTGAACAACTTTGTCTAGTGGAAAGCATCCCTTCCCATGGCAGAGTTAGTTGTTCTTTAAGATCCATTCCAACCCAAACCATTCTGTGAAAAACTGCAGAGATGATCAAAATACTTGTTACAAGAGGGGTCTGAGACAGCTGTGTTGGATACATCAGGAAGACTGGTAAAATGGGAAATGTAATTGCCACAGCTCTGCTGCTGGAGTTGTGGGGAGCTTTGAAATGTGGCTGATCACAGCTAGGTGATAGCCAATGAACAGGATGTCTGCAGACCATCAGAGGACTAATGCATGTCTATGTGCAACCAGGTATTGTAGGAAGATTATGATACCAAAACAGAAGTGTCTACTTGTGTGATTCAGAGGTGATGTGAACTGAACATACTGATTTTGTTTGTGTGTTCACTTAGCACGTGGATAAAATATTTAACCAACATAGAATGCATAGTGATAATTGCATAATATGTGACAGTAGTCAGTTGGAGAATGCTTTGTGTACAGTTAGAGACAAGCTTAAAGATTTATGAAGGTCAATGATTGCTTGGATTCTTTGGATTTAGGCTGTTTGGCAGCTTGTGCTTTTTGATAACTTGTACAGAGCATGATGCTTACTGTCTGCTGTATTGCCCTGCAGTTCCCCTGCATGACACAGGGAAAGCTGTGTGATGAATCAGGCTTTGAGTGAATTTGTAGGGCTGGACAAAGGCATGTTAAGCTTAGCCTGTGACAAAGATACATTTAGAAGCTGACTGCTGGAGAGCAAACTCATGACCACTGAGAGAAAAGCTTGCTCTCAAGTGAAAACTCTGGTTGTAGATCCCTGATGTGCCTGCAGTGACAAGTGATGGGTGCAGCACTTACAGTCAGTGACAGCCCTTGCCCCAGATACCTCCTTAGTTTGACAAACACTGAAACTTTAAACTGTATGTTAGTGAAGAGCTGCCCTTTTTCTGGATGGTGATTTGTCCCAAAACTGGGTTTGAAAAGGAGTAGAATCCTTTGAGCAGGGGTGAGTAATGTGCTTTCTTCTCTGTTGCAAATCCTGAGTTGCTCTAATTGGCTTGTCAGCTATTAAGATATTGTTCAGTTTGCTCTTTACCAGAAATCTTCATAAAATAGCAGGAGGAAAACACCGCAGCAAGAAACATTTTTAATGCACTTCTGGAAGCACTATGTTTAGTTCTCTAGTTATTTGTTCATTAATAAGGGATCAGCCTGGGATTCTGAGGTTTTTAAGTACAGAGAAGAATATCAGGAGAGAGTAGTATGGCTTCTCTTTCTCTTTTCCTTCTGCTTTGTAATTAATTATTGTGTAGTGGTACTAAGTTGTTATTGTTCTGTGTTAAAAACAGTCATATGGTCATCTCACAGTCCTTGTTTGGAGAGTTGCCACAGCGAAGAAAAATTCTGTTTATGCACCAAATTGTCAGTAGTTTGGAAGGGGATTGTTCTGTTGGAAACAGAGTGCTTTGAATGGTAGTCCAAGAGGAGGGATGACAAGGAGGGGAGGATTGAGAAGATAAGTGTAAAAATATGTCAGGGTTATTTCAGGTTTATTTTTTATTAGAATCATGGTCAACTACCTTAGATTTAGAATCTGTTCCAGTTTTTATATGGCTTTTTTTCCCTTGTATTCTAGGTTGTATTTAGCTCCAAGTCATGTTTTTCTGGCTAGTAAACTTGGGGTTTAGAGAAATTGTTAATTAATAAATGGCTATTGAAGATAAATTCTGAAGAAGTCTTTTATGAATATTTAAGATATGTAACATGTATCAATAGTTTGAAAAGTAAAAGTGAAAATAGTTTGAAAAGTAGCATATAGTTTCTGAATTATTTTAATAATAATAAAAAGCTTTAATAATTTCCTGATATTTCTCCATGAATCAATCAACTTTGAAAAACATATACTACCAGAAGAAAAGCTTTTTCTATTTTGGATTCAAAGTATGACAAGTCATCATTGTTTTGTGTGGTGCCTGTTGGTGCATTTTATCCTCAAACAATGGGTTATATGTGTTAACCCATTTCCTTTGATGGGTTAAGCAGTAGTTATGAAATCAACACTGCCACACAGGGTCTTCTATTTCTTCGAGAAGGAAGGCTGGGAGATAAATGCTTTCAGATAGTATTTGATATGGGAGGAGGAAAAAATTAAAAGAAAAGGGTTTTGAGGAGTATTTTTTTTAAGGAAGCTCTGCTGGGAGTAAAAGTCAAGCTGGGGGGCAGTGGTTATGGATACCAAGGACAGAACAGATGCCCAGAGCACTGGGAATGAGTAGTTTCAGTTGACTGGATTTTACCATGTGTTTGTTGGTATTTATTCAACTTCAGGAGTTGGAGAAATGCACTCGGTTGTACTCCAGCTTGTCTGTAATTGAGAGTTTGGATATCTTGCTATGCAGTGAATGGAAGCGGCAAGTGCAGACAAAAAACGTCTCATGATTTATCTTCAAATCTTAAAGCAGCTTGTAACTGCCCCAGCACAGCTCCAGTCATCTGGTGCCACTCTTGTGGGTCTTGTTTAAGAACTGTACTTCTTCCCCTTCCCCTGGAGTGCCAATAGGTACCAATAAGTACTTGGCATCCTTCACAAAACATCTTTCATTAGACTAGACTGAATCAGTTTGCTAAATAGGAGCCTCATGGAACAGGAAAGATCTCTTCTTTGTCCAGCTGCATCCATCATTACAGAGATGACACTGGCATATTGTAACTTAATGTTTTGGCTTTGAAGTCATTTAGCAAAAAAAGGAGTAATATATATCTTGTCCTGATGTCAATTTCTATATTAGTGATCAAAAAGGAAAACATGAACATGAGAACTGAAAGGATTTTGTTTTGTAAAAGTGCCTGGGAAACAGACAGGGCAATTACCACATAGTCACTGGTTTCCTAGAACTGAGGAGAAAATCACAGCATCTTTTGCCCTGTTGATTCCTGCATTCTGAGCTGTAATATTGGCACATTAAGGAGTCCTTGTATAACATGACAGAACACATTAGGAAAATCCATTTGGATAAGTGTTTGTAAATTCTATTCTTACTTATGCAGGCTGGGCCTCAGGACTGTCACTGGGGAGAAAAATTGAGTATGTTTTAACTCTGTTTGGATGCTGCTGCTGTCCACTCCCAGGTGATCTAATTTTATCTGCAGTTATAAAAGGCAGACACAGCTGCAGTTTCATGACATATATTTTTATATAAATGTTATAAGTATGTTAACTTTTACATCTTCTGCTTGACTGTACAGTCAAACTTCTATACTTTCTCAGCCCCTCTGGATCTCTGAAATCTCATCCATTTGCAAGATTGTAATTTACAGTACCAATCATTTAAATTTGCTAAACAATTTATGGGACTTAGGTCCTATAATCACTTGTAGAGTATAAATGAAGGATAGAGGACAGTATTTTTGTGACTTTTACAGTCTATATTGTGAACTGAGGCTGCATACCTGACATTCTCTAGTGCTCAGATAATTTCATAGCCAAAATACGGATGCAATTTAGTAGCTCATTGCCTGTAGAGTGCTCCTTAAAAATCTTGTTTGTATTACCCCAGAGTTATCCCTCTGAAGATTCTTAGCCACAGACATTCAGAATTGAAGAATTAACAAAGTGCTTCTTGAATGTACGCTAATACCATTTTTTCTGCATCATCCTTTAGTAGCTGGGTTTTCACAGGGCTTTGACACTGTTGTTGCTTCAGTTTTAAAATGTCACAGCTACTCTTCTTCATTTCAACCAGTGGTTTCTGACTTCTTCCACATAAGTAATGCCAGACTGATTTTTTTTTTCTAACTCACTTTGTTTTGGCTTAGCAAATGTACTAATTGTTTGTAACTATATACTTTATGAAGAACTATTTGCCCTGTAGGGTTTCACTTACACTTTTTTTTTGTTTTCTTTGTTGAAAAATGATTGCATTCTCAAAAAAAAGTTGGGTTTTTTTTTCTTTCTTAATTACATAAAGAAAGGTATTAGTAAACTTTCCCTTTTCAGAACTGGAAAATACCCAGAAAGACATTTGCTCACACTTTCCAAATACAAATTTGCTTCTAAATTGAGATCAAACATGGGAAAATTTAGAATGTTAGGTGAATATTTTGTGTAGTTTTGAGGAGATGGAAACAACTGTTTAATTCTTAGAATGTTGAAGATGATGGTTTTAAATTGTCCATGAACTATGCAAATAAAGTTGGTGGGAAGTGACTGAGGAATGCAACCCACGATCAGTAGCTTTAAATTAGCTTGTTCTTCCACTGGAAAATTTTCAGGGTGTTTTCAAATCAGAAAAGATTGAATGCTATTGATAACTGAGTTTAATAATGTCCCATTTTGTTTTGTCAAGCAGTTCTAGTTTATTTCACTTCTAAAAGTTAAAAAGTTGAGTTTTGTGACATTTGCTGTTTAAAAAAAATTATTTGACAAAGATGTACTACAGTGATGTCTGTGATTCACAGTGATATCTCTGTGGGCAGACAATCATATGTTTTCAATGGAAGCAAATATATTGTGCTTGTAATGTGGAAATTGTCCAAATGATCACAAACTGTCCTGACTAGCCTCTTATGGCTAGCTCTCATTCTTGCATCCTTAGTCTATAAAAACTCTGTAAATCAAGCTGAGGAGATCTACAGGACCCAA